TAACAAATCAACAAGACTTGAATCTACGGATTCTATTATTTAATTTATTAGAATATTAATTCAATTGAATAATAGATATTGCCATACATGCATCAATTATATATATTTAAAGTGTTTATGTCCAAAGTTAATTGGACCTAGGGCATAACACTTACACCATAAACAAAATCGAGACTGTTCAGATTTGCTCGATGAGGCCCAATTCGAGCCTAAATGTTTAGGTCGGGCTTTTACTCGGCTCGACTCGGACAAAAAAAGCTTGATTCATTTTTTACCCAAGCTACGACTTTCGACTCGACTTGTTTACATGCCTAAGTTCATCTCCATCCAATACAAATGAATCTAACTTAACATTTTTTAAAAAATAGATCAACGAGAAAAATGGTATAGTATAACCCGAAATTTATAAATACAAAAAAGAGATGTCGTAGTTTAATTCTTTTTCTTGATCTTCTACCTCGAGCTTTGATTATTCAAGTTCTCGATGTTTCTTGATTCAATCCACATGCTAGATTTGTTCTCTTCTACAACAGATATTGAATTGATCCCTTGTTTCTTAATAAAATTTTATGGTATGAATGTAATTTGAGATGCCTAAAAGAGATCCCTTCAATGGCTATCCCTGTTTTGTATTTATAGGAGTCGAATTTAGGTTAAGAAATGCCTAAAAATTGGGGTCCAAAAGAAATGGAATTGAAAAAGGAAAACTAAATCATGTTTGCCATTTTAGACCATGCGCTTGCATAGGATTCTTCGGTGTGCACGCATCACTTTATGTTTTCAACCTTGGGATTTGAATGAGGCTGCGCGAGGAAATGTCTAAGTATATGTCGGTATTTTATCATATCTTTCTTTAATAATATCCGATTGAGGTGATTCAAAGTGTATTCAGAAACTAATTCAAAGGATTAATATCATTTTTCTAATTCGAAAGTCTAATAATATGCAAAAAATGGATCTCAATAAGAGGCTAGAAATTTGAAGCATAAATTGTGCGGCTATAAATCGTTTTTTTGAAAATACTTTGACTATATTTTACTCATTTGACTTCTATTATAATTGTATCCAATTGATCGTATGCAATCTTGAATCATCCTTTTGTTATCCAAATCAGCTATTGAATATTTGCATTTTGATCTTCGAACTTTGAGTTTCTTCATTTTCGCCTATTTTTCGTTCCTCTTTTTTCCAAATCAACCATCTGCATCAAGTTTTACTTAACAAACAAAATTAACACGTAATTAAACTATAATTCGTTCAAATCAACAATAAATCTAATTGTTTTAATGGTCCGTACAAAATTCATTTATCGTTATTTAAGTGCATTAGTTTACGTAGCAATATAATAACATTAAATAATGAGTCCAGTGAAATGTTGTTTGTCACTAGTGGTATTTAGAATTAGTTTATACAACAGTGAAATCCATATCATATTATACAATAAAGTTGAAATGCATTTTTATTCGTTGAACAATATAACTGTCGTTTATTATCACATAGACATGCAATAAATACAATAATGATAAATAACATTATTCATAATTCAATACCTCTACATTACTATGTTGACTTATGTTAAATGTCGGTGTTACGAAGCATCGTTCGTTATTAATTTACAAGACTACTACTAGTCTACATCTATGACCATTTTCTAGAGGAAATTTCATCTTTAATTCTTAATATCAAACCAGCCCTTCATTTACCCCTCATCGTTTTATTATAGTCATAGAATTATGTATTACGATGGTAATAACTTAAGTTTTTGTTACATCATCATGACCTCAAAGAAAATGCTCGAAAAGAAAGCGATGAATAATGTTGATTTTACAGAAATTCGAACCACCAGTTGTGCAACTACAGGATTTAATTGCTCATTTTAAAATTTTATAATCAACTTGCTACTTAAATAAATAAGTTGGGGTCCAGTAGTGTAATTTTTCATTATTATTCTAGAACGCAGAATTCCTATACCGGTGGCGGAAAAAAAATTTACAACAGAACGTAATCAAAACGGAAGGAGAGACATTCTGCTGATTTAGGTGAAAATCAAGGGGAAAAAATTGGGTCAAGGTTCCCATGTTAGAACATATGACCGTTGTTTTCCCCAGGTTGTCTTATAAAGATAACACAACACAAGAGCATTGCTTGAAATTTTGATAAGTAGAAATGGATTCAGATTTTGGAATAGCAAGAGAACTATCTGAAATACAAAATCTTCGATCTCACTACCAACCTCAACTCCCTCCATGCCTTCAGGTCTGCTTTTCTGCTTCCATCGAAAGTATTCCTGTTGAATTGTGAATTCTTTCGATGTCGTATTTGTTAATTTCGGTTCGATTTTTGAATTGAGATTGCTTGGAGATATTTTCTTTTTCTGTGCGGTGATTTTCATTGTTTGTGGATGCATGTTAACATCCAGAAGTAAATTTTTGTTTCTTCGTACTTCTCATGGATGTAACGTGTCTTTCTTTTCTTTTTAGTTGTACCATCAAGTTAAGAACAGAATCATTACTAGAGTAGTGACAGTTTTACAAGTTGCTGACATCAAGTTTTATGCCATTCAGCATCTTAAAATTTCTCATATACACCGGCAAAAAGCTGAGTTTATGGACAATCCACTGTGTATACATGAATTTTCAATTTTCTTCAGATTATTCTACTTCCTCGGTCTTCAGAAACCCCTCCCCCCGCACCCCTCAAAAAAAAAGGAACTATAATTTTGCATTTCCTAACTCGGAGATAAACTTGGCCTGTGATCTATTGTTACTATACTAAAAAAAAAAAAAATGTAATTTGAGCTATATATTTGTCATATGATTTGTGTTGTCCCTGAAATTTTCCTCGTAACTTGTATGAACTATTAAGTGCCCCTGTTTGTGAATTTTATGCTTTTATATTTCCTCCCTCTCTATCTCTCTCTCTTTCTATAGTCTATCTAGGAATTAGATTTTACCGCTTCAACTTCCACTTCTATTAATTTACTCTAAATTGGGCAGGGAACTGCTGTCCGTGTAGAGTTCGGTGATGCTTCCACAGCTGCTGATCCCTCAGGTGCCCACACCATAAATAGGTCCTTTCCTCACACTTATGGTCAACCTTTAGCTCACTTTCTTAGGGCGACTGCCAAGGTCCCTGATGCTAAGATAATTACCGAGCATCCAGCCGTCAGGTAGAAATGTGATTATAGCTATATATTTCTATCACTTTCAGTTACAAATGAAATTTCCATGATATATAAATTTTGTTATTGCTGTATACTAAAATGTAATTGTTTTTCTTTCTTCCTAGGGTGGGAATTGTTTTCTGTGGTAGACAATCTCCAGGAGGACACAATGTCATATGGGGTCTTCTTGACGCTCTAAAAATTCACAATCCCAATAGTATTTTGCTTGGATTTTTGGGTAAGGAGTTGTGTTTCTCTCCTCAGTATGCTGATGTTCCTTTCTACCCTTGTACATCTTGTCTGTTTAGCTCTAGCCCTTGTGTGTTTTCGTGCATATAATGAATATCCTTGATCAATTCATTAATTAAGAGATATTGTGATAGTTCTTGTTATACTGCTGTCAGGTCAATGGTAGGCTTTTTTGTGATACATTCCCCTTTTATTGTCTCGCGGTACATATGTTTTTCAAACGCAAATGGACATTTTTTCGGACTTGATAATGTATATAGCTAGATGATTCCGCGACCCTTTCAGAAGGTTTATTTTTTTAAGCTTGGTGCATGTTACCAGGTGGCTCTGAAGGTTTATTTGCACAGAAAATTCTAGAGATCACCAACGATGTTCTTGCAACATACAAAAATCAAGGTTGGAGTGGATTTTAGACAATATCACTACCAATCCATAAATGTCATTTTCAGACCTAAGTAACTTCTTTTGGATTTTGTCATGTTAAGGTGGTTATGATTTGCTGGGACGGACGAAAGATCAAATTAGAACAACTGAACAAGTCAATGCAGCTCTGAATGCATGCACAACTTTGAAGTTGGATGGTCTCGTCATTATTGGAGGTATCTTCTATGCTGTCTCCTAAGATTCATGATAAAAAAGATTCTATAAATTCAGTTATTCTGACTTAAGTATATTGTGCATTTTAAGGGGTGACATCAAACACAGATGCTGCTCAACTTGCAGAAACCTTTGCAGAAAGAAAATGCTCAACAAAGGTACATCATGCATGCAACACACCATGCTTAATTAGGCAGTTATGATATTGTCTTATAATTATGTGTTTTCAGATAAATATCTTCATGTTGAGATTTGAGGGTTTTTAATAGAAAGCCGTAACAAACCTACATTGATTTCATTTTATGTCTTGTATTAACAAATCATGACCGAACCAAGTGATTTCCAAATTTCCGCAGGTTGTTGGAGTTCCTGTTACTTTAAATGGAGATCTCAAGAACCAATTCGTTGAAACAAATGTTGGTTTTGACACGATATGTAAGGTATGATAATCTGATTACAATCTCTTATAAATTCTTTTGGTTTTTGATTGGCTTCTTCCTTTTTTTTATATATATATTTTTTCTTTTTTTCATTTTGGCAGTGGGGTGGGGGTGGGGGTGGGGGTGGGGTAGGGAGTAAACTTTTGGATTTTCATGACTAGTTTACATGTTTCTCTCTTGTGTTGACACATAGCATTCCAAATACATAGATGTGAGCAGTTAGCCATCCAATATTGTTAAATGCACGTGGTGTAAAACAAATCCTCTTTTTCCTCTTTCATGCCATCTATGTCCATCAAGATACACTATCATTTTCGTGCTCAGGCTTCTTTTTTATGGATTATTTATGGCAGTATGTTCAGATTGAAAGCATTGAGGTAGTATTTTATCTTTAATTTACATCGAAAGTAAATAATCACAAGAACTGAGTTTTTACTTGTTTTACTTATTTTAGGTCAATTCCCAGTTGATCAGTAATGTCTGCACTGATGCCGTCTCTGCAGATAAGGTAAATGATGCAATTATTTATTCTGCCTCGAAGCTTGTGGTTTCCTTCAAGAGTCCATGTTCATCTTCATTTTCTTGGAGAACAACGCGACTGTTTGTTTTCTGAAGGAAAGAAAGAAGCGCCTCATGATTTTTCTTGTTTTTCTTGCATATTTGAGTTACTGTAGGCTTTAAAGTGATATTTGAAATGTGTTGCACAAATATTCTTTTGCGTACTTATTTATGTATAACTCCCTTGTTCCCTTTTTCTTATCATCCTTCCTTTTCTTTTCAGTATTATTATTTCATCCGTCTCATGGGCCGAAAGGCATCGCAAGTTGCCCTGGAATGCGCTCTCCAGTCGCATCCAAATATGGTCCGTTGTTTCCTCTATTAAGTTCCACAATTTTGTTGGAACAGCTAGCCATCTTCTAGGTATTGTTTGTTTTCACTTGCAGTAAGCATAAGCAATCTTGCAGGTTATTCTTGGTGAGGAGGTTGCTGCATCAAACCTTACAATTTTTGACATAACAAAGCAATTATGTGATGCAGTGCAGGCCAGGGCTGAACAAGGTAGAATTAGAATCTTTTGGATGCTCTTATCAAGATTCCTGGTGCTATATCTACTATTACCACCTTATTGTGTTATTTGGTTCAGATAAGTATCATGGTGTGATCCTATTGCCAGAGGGTCTCATAGAAAGTATTCCTGAAGTCTATGCTCTATTGCAGGTACATTTGCTCTTGATTGATCTTTAGTTCCTTCTGCCTCTCATCCCATCACCACCAACCTTTCTCCCAAAATAATCTGATAACTTAGTGATGCCATTCTCCCCCTCAAATTAGAAAGGGATGAAGGGTTCTGTTTTCAAAACTGTCACTGGTTTTTTTTTTTAAGTACTTTCCGGAGCTTAAATTATCTATCACAGTTCCATTTGTATATATTCAGTATTTTGATTTGGTGTGAAAATCGCGTACCTCCCAGGAAATCCATGGTTTGCTCAGGCAAGGCGTCTCTACTGATAAAATTTCTTCTCAACTATCACCTTGGGCATCTGCATTGTTTGAGTTCTTGCCACTTTTTATTAGAAAGCAGGTACATCTTTATATATTGATTCATGTCATTATTTAATTTTCACGTATATCTTCCTTAATTAAAGTAACTGTGATGTTATAGCTCCTTCTACAACCAGAATCAGACAACTCTGCACAGCTGTCCCAGGTAATGGAATTTGCCAATTTTAATGTTTATGCAGTGTTCAAATTTGAGCCTGTTCGTTATCGTGTCTTCTGTTTCCTTGACAGATTGAGACAGAAAAGCTCCTAGCACATCTTGTTGAAGTAGAAATGAACAAACGATTGGTAAGCAGTATCTATATGCCTAGTCGCCTACATCATTTGATGCTAACTGAACTAAATTATTTATTTTATCTTATAAAATAGAATGCCTTTGTGTTCGTTTTATATCAGTTTAGAATAATATTGTTTTTCATCTGCTTTCTTAACCATTTAAGATGAAGGTTCATCTTTTTCAGCATAGTGAATTCAGGATAATTGCGCACAGAAAAATATTTGACTTCTTATGCATCATTGCGGTTCTCTATATTTTCATCTGTACAGAAGAAAGGAAACTACAAGGGAAAGAAATTCAATGCCATTTGTCACTTCTTTGGTTATCAGGCACGGGGATCATTGCCATCAAAGTTCGATTGCGACTATGCCTATGTAAGTTATACTGCCTCTGATAATGTGAAATAGATTCATTATAACTAAAAATAGTATCTTTGTAATACAAGGTTCTTGGTCATATCTGCTGTCATATTCTGGCTGCTGGTTTGAATGGTTATATGGCGACTGTAACCAACCTGAAGAATCCCGTGAAAAAGTGGCGTTGTGGTGCTGCTCCTATAACAGTAGGTTCCATATTCCTTTGACATTCTCTCTCATAGCAAGAAGTTGCATGGAGATAAAACCATTAATTTGTGTTTCCTTTGTTTTACACGGCTTCCTTTTCTCCTGCCTTGTCTTGTGAAATTGTGATGACTTCATCGAGCAATAAAGTTGAATATGGTGGGTGTTTGTAACTCCAGGCTATGATGGCAGTTAAGTGCTATGGACGTGGTCAAGGGGCCTCTTCACTTGGAAAGCCGGCTCTGCATCCTGCAACTGTGGATTTGAAGGGCAAGGCTTATGAGTATGCCATTTCTTTGTTTACTCCCCTGTTACTTGTTACATGTGAAATCCAAAAAATGAATTTTGAATTCTTTTCGTGCCGATCCTTCTCTTTGCTGACCAAGAATTCAGTGTTTTTGTCTCTAGCTTAACGTCTTTTGCTGCAGGTTGTTGAGACAAAATGCAACCAAGTTTATGATGGATGATGTTTATAGAAACCCAGGACCCCTTCAGTTCGATGGTCCAGGTGCTGATGCTAGAGCTGTAACCTTGTGTGTTGAAGACCAAGATTACATGGGTCGTATCAAGGAATTGCAGGAATACCTCAACAAGGTTGTCTTATCCCATGGCTATATTTCATTAGAATTCTCTCTACGACTTCAATAATTGTGTGGGATTCGATATTTTTGTTCCTGAGTGACATTTCATTTTTGTTGACCTCTCTTTTCCAGGTGCGTTCCATAGTGAAACCTGGGTGCTCTCTAGATGTTCTGAAGGCTGCTTTGAGTGCCATGTCCTCTGTGATAGACATTCTGTCTGCGATGTCCTCACATTCAAACGGGAACACTCCTTTCTAGTGTTGCGTAATTTTTGCACATCCTTCTGTAAAACTTCAATGGCGCCCACTGCTCATCAAGCTGGGATTGAGGAATCCGTTTTTAACTTCTTATCTTGATCTTATCTAGTTCCTAAGAAATAAGATGCGTCATTTAACATAGTTGTATCTTCTCTGTCTTTTTGCTTTTTCATCCTTTCTGTAATTTTGAGTCTTGACATAGGATTGCTGTTGCGGTGTACTTGAAATATGTTTGTTTTTGCTGTGGAGATAATCATGTTTGATCTTTAGGCTTGTTTATCATTGAAATTGACGTGACAATTATAGATCAACTTAATAGAAATTTTGCAGAATCAAAGTATTTAATTTTGTAGATAAAAGGAAAACTCTCATTAAGAATTGTTTTGATAGTGAATTTCAAAGGATCGCTTAGCTCGACCTTTTGTAGGGACCATTGTTTCTTTATATATATGCCTTTTAACGTGAGCTTGCTGTTCTCTTTTTTGTCAAGTTGTAGTGTCCGACTTCAATTTTTGTGTTATTGTCCTGAAGAGATTTAGTGGGTTTAGGTTCATGTTAAGCGAGTATGACACCTAGAGCATAGTATATGGTCTACGTCATCATTCTCTATGGTCTAGACAATTATTACTTTCTTCTGATTGATGGAGATGGTTGTGCTGATATCGAAAGTGACATCCATTCACTTTTGATTGTTATGGAGGTGTTGAAGTCACATATGTTTATTCCCTTAGTTGATCATGATAATATTTTCAGCAAACGACGGCATTATGGCAATTCTCATTGGATGGGTATGTGGTCTGACCTTTCATTTTGATTTGAAGATTTCATAATTAATCTCATTTAATAACTTTTTGGAGTGGGTCCGAGGCAATCCTTGAGATTGTTCTTCCTTTCAATGAGCATAATCCCTGTATCATACCTCTATGCATCCACTAATTCCATGTTGCTAAGGTTTTTCGAATGTTGCTCATTAAACAGTGAAGTGACTTGTATGGTTGTTGAATGAGAATTGGATTAGAAATTAGAGTCTTAAAAGAAGTTTCGGGTGAGGTTTAAATAGGAGTTGTCTTTCGATTTTTTGTGGCTTTTATTCCGAACATTTTACTTGAAATAGTTTCGTTTCCCTATTTCAAGTGAAAAATATCCGATTGAATGAGGTTGGTCATTCATTGAAGTCTAAAAAAGAAAAATTCGGAAAGTATTAATTTTATACATTTTAGCCCCCTTTTTGTAATAGATTCTTGAAATTCATTTACAAAATCAGGTTCTCTCTAAAAAACAATTTTGCGCGCGAGTCATAATTTTTCTTTACTTCTTAACTACATATTATTCAAAAAAACACTTTTTCACAAAATCCATTCTTAAAAGACCTAACTCAAACGTGTTCTAGGTCCAACAGGTGAAAATATTTGGACAATTTACAAAAATACCCTTAAAATTAGTGGTCTTTTGAAAATCATATAAAAAATACTTTGGAAGTAAAAAAAATACTATGTAAAATTATATGTCATTTTTTTTATATATATAAAGTGACATTGTGTTACTTTTATATATATTAAAAAAAGTGAGACAATGTCACTTTTTTATTAAAAAAAGTGATGCAACGTCACTTTTTAAAGTTTAGTTTTATTTTTTTATTAAAAAGTGATATACAACTTTTATTAAAAAGTGATGTTTGTCACTCAAAAAAGTAACATAAATTTCAAGGAAGTGACAAAAAAATGACAGAAATTAAAAAATGACATAAATTAAAAAAGTGTCAGGGATTTAAAAAAGTGACAAAACATCCATTAAAACAATGGAATTTGTTCAATAAAGTGTAGAAAAAAAAAAGTGACACAACCACGTCCAATCTTTTTATTCGTTCACCGCCGAATATCTTTAAGTTAGTTCATCGACAAACAACAATCAAAATGTCAAACATCTTTAAATCAATTCATAACCACCACCACCACCTACCAACTCAACCAACGACACAACGCTATTCCTCCGCTTTCTCCCTTCCCACAACTATTACTACCAACAGACCAAAGCCTAAGCACAAAAAACTATACACATAAAATAGAAGAAAAAGGAACTCAAACACGAACATATTAAAGAAAGTGACAAATACCATAAAAACAAATTGACAAAAATTAAAAAAAGTGACAACATATTAGTCAAAATCTTAAATTATATCATTTTATACAACTTCTAACACTTCACATTCTCCACCACCACCACTTCAATATCCAAGGCTCAAAAACCATTTCTACCTATTTTCTTCAATACCCACCAAAAACTAAGACAACTTTGAAATTTTGAATGTTCAATCCATAGGAGAAGTTCATAATTTGATAATTAACCCTTTTGCAATTCCATTACTTCCACTGTTCCTTTGCAATTAACCCTTCAACTGATGTATGTATTTTTCTAATTTTCTTTTCTAAACTTTTTATTTTTGCAAGGAGGTTTGAAGTCCAATTTGTTTTGAGAAATCCACTCACACAATGCACCTAGAGTAGGTCTTTCCATATACCCTGAGAAAACATTTTTAGCGAGCAGCTTAAATCAACCTCAGATTCTGACCACCCTCGTCTTGGCACCTCAATCGTCTACAGAAGTTCAGCAGTTTGTCCACCGCACACACCCAGTCAACCAAAACCCAATATATCGTCGGCTATTCCAATCGACATCACCACACCATCCCTCGTCGACAAAACATCAAAAGCAGAAACATGGACTTGATCGGCCCAGCACCATCACCATTGTAGCGGCATCATCGCAACTGAAGTTGTAGCGTGCAAGGCGTTTGTGATATCTGTACTCAGTTGGATTTTGAGATTTTGGGGTTTTGTTTTAATTTAGAATGTAATTAATACGGGTTTATGTGATGTTTAATTAATCAAGAGTATTAATTTAGTTGGGTTACTTTTTAGAGTATGGGGCCTAATTTCCCCAAAATATTTTGCCCTCTTCGGTTTAAATAAAAAATAATTTTTTTAGTAAATTATAATAAAAGTTATATATCCTATAAAATTTATGATTAAAATTAACTTTTACATTTGACTCAAATTTAATTAAGACCCCGTTTGGTTTGAATAAAAATTTAAGTTTCTAGTAGATTTTTAATAAAAATTGGTGAAATGTGTGATTCAAAAGTGAATAAAAATTGTGGGTCACGTCAATTGATAAAAATTATAGGGATAAAATGGACATTTGACACGAGTCAGTCCAATACAGGAGTTCAATTGCTGAGCCAAATCGGTCCTCCGATCTTTTAAACTATGAAACCGCTTAAGCAGAGCACCCCCACTCACCCACTCCAGCTCTCTCAGGTATTTACATTGGTCTCTCCACACTCAGATAATCACTATTTTTCTCCTTGAAAATTAAGGAAACCCTAGGATCCGCCATTACTAAGGTAAAGCTCCACCGGTGAAAGCCCGAAGCTCTGGCTGGCGCCGCTGCCGGGTGTCTTTTCCGGTAAGTCTTTGGGCGCATCTCTATGTGATTTTCTATTTTATTTTTAATTTCCTTCCTGATGTAACGTGAGAGAGGAAAAAAATGGATCAACATAAATTTTTTATCTTTTTGTAATTTTTGTTATTTTTTGGTTATTGATATTCCCATGCATAATGGAACTAAATTTTCTTGAAGAGCGTGACCGTTCGTGGACGATCAAATTCATGGTTAATTCCTATTAAATTTCCTTTTCAGATTATTTTTTGCACATGCATGGCGGTTTTCATTTTGAGTTTTACCTGACCTGTACAAAGTAATTGTATTGTTATGTTTGATGTATCTAATATCTGTGACTAGATCTCAGAATGGATAAAAGTAATGTAGAGATGGAGGACGTCAAAAAGCACATCCTAGATTCAGAGAATAACGAACTCGAGACAGAGAATAAACTTCCTGATGCAAAAGTTGAATGCGGGGAAGGAGAATTGCCTCCTAAAGCTGCCATGGATGATGTAAATGCTGGTGCAAGTGTGGCAGAGGACCTAAAAATTACTGAAGGCGAGGCAGAAGATTGGAGCAATTATAAAAATGAGGCAGAACATCAAATCAACATAAACAGCGAGACCAAGGACCAAATCGAGGGTAAGAGTGAGGCTGAGGACCCAATTAATTGTGAGAGTGAAGCTCATGACCCAATCAACAGTAATAGTGTGGCAGAGGACCAATCTGGTGCCAAATATGGAGTGAATGAACAGAACATTATTGGTAGTGGAGTGGAGGAAGAAAAAAATTCAATCAAGAATGACATAGAGAGTGCCAATAATGTTGAAACTGTGATGGAGGAAGACAAACTTACTGGAGATGTTGCAAAGGAGAAAACCTCTAATGAGAATAGCAGAGAGGATGAACATCCTGTTGAAAATGTTGGAGTGGAAGAAAAACAAACAGAAAATGCTGCTGTGGAGAAAACATCTATCGAAGTACTACATCTTCCAACTGAACTATCAGCAAATGAGTCTCCTCAAAATGAGGGCGTTTTGGTAGATGACATACCACAGGTTACGAATGAAGAAGTGTTAGATGTGGTTCATCAGAATGAGGGGAAATTGGTTAAAGATGAGCTGAAAGAACCATGTAATGTGGTTGTTCCTGCCACTGCTCTAATCAATGGGAATGCCGAGGCGGGTGAAACTGCAACCAAATGTGAATTTGTTGATGCTACAATTCCAAGCCAGCAACAATCTGTCACGCCCAATTCCCTTCTTAAATGTTTACCTTCAAAGGCTGTAGATCATAGTGGGGAAATAGTTGAGACTGTTTTTAGTCAAGCAAAGGTACTTTTGTTGTTTACAACAGAAGTGAGAAAGGTTACACAGTTCAATTATATAACACTGGTGGACATGAAGTGGCAATTACTGTAGGTTTCAAATTGATCATCTATTTTATGTTTTATGTTTTTACTTTTGGGTGTTAGATGGCTGAGGGTGACGATGGAACACCAGAAGATCAAACAATATTCATGAAGGCACTGGAAAGTTTTCATAGGGAGAAGGGGACAGATTTTAAGCCACCCAAATTTTACGGGCACCCACTAAATTGCCTGAAGTAAGTTTTGTTTTCATTTTATTATGAGGTGTGCTTGGGTAAAGACTAATTTCTTAACTTTGTGGGTTGCTAGGTTATGGAGAGCCGTGATTCAATTGGGTGGCTATGATCGGGTATGCAGTCCCCTATATTGTATTCCTTAAATTTCTCTATTTTATGCTGCAATTATTAATTTTGGGCATTGCATAAAAAAGTTTTGATGCTGTTGCATATATAAGTAGGGTTTTTTGTGAAAATTTTAGATGCATACAAGGATAACATTTATTATTTGATAAGCAAGTTGCATGATGCTTCAAACTCATATCTCATGAGACTTGGACTGAGTCATCAAAATTTTAAATTAACAAAAGTTGGATGTATGCAGGATAACTTCCAATAAGAAAATGTAATAAGTTGTATATAGAGCTCAAAAAAACTGATGCTACTTTTAAATCCTTCTCTTTTTGGTATCCCATGTTTTTTTTTCCTTGTCATTTTACATGGTTAAGCATGTGAATATGTTATATACTATGTCCACGTGTTAATATCATACATGGAAGTAAGATGTGGAGAAATAATTGGCAAGAAAATCTATGTATCAAAGGAACAAAAATGAGACTCATCTTTATTTGGTCTTCAATGACACGTATGGGATTGTTTTAAAAACTTCATAACTACTATTAGATAGCCTTATTCAATTACCCCTCGTACCACAGCAAGGGATACATGCTCTTGCTTCAGTGTAGGGAGAAATTAAATATATCTTTGAAACAAATTGTATGGAAACATTGTTTAGTAATTTAAAAAATTCAATGTCAAAGTTTTAATACATCTTGGCCTAAGAAGCACGAATACTTGGAAACTCATTATGTACGTATTTGATATGTATTCAAGCTGGGATATTCTTCGATATGTACCGGATACGTGTTTTTTAATTATTTTATATTTTTAAAATTTTTGATATGTATCGAATACGTATTTTTTAATTATTTTCGATATGTATTAGATATGTTTAAGACACATGAAGAAGAGTTTTATTGAATTTAAACTCTTTTAAAACTCGTTATTATTGACTATAGATTGACGAAATTTTTACTTAATAGATAACTATTGTTACCATCAATAATTTATTGAAAATAGATAATGTTTATTGAAATACATAGCTGAAGTTTTAATTTAATTAAAAAATAGAGTTATTTATTGGAAATACACAATAGTATTAAATCTTTTAATCATGTAAAATTGTGTTAATAGTTAACAAATATATTTTATTATTGTAAATAGATAATTGTATTAAATTTCTCTTCGAAAGGATAATTAAAAATGTGGAACATTGGCGTAGACTCATTTTTGATACTGTTGAAGGTGTTAGACTGTTTGACGTTGCTAATATATCATTAGATAAGCCAGAGTTGGGGGTATTATTTTAATGATAATAAATAAGTTGATATTGGTAATGTTGAAGGAAATGAAGTTTCGACAATTAAGGATTAAGATAAAATGCTTTAATATTTTATTTTATTTTTATTATCATGCTTCTGTTTTAATGTGTATCCTAATTTAAAAAAAAAACTTGTATTGACGTACCGTATCATATCGTATTCAAATAACGTATCCAAATCCGTTCTTAGATCCTAGTGGTGTCTATAGACAAGAATTCAATTTTATTTTTTTTATTTTTGTAGTAGCTGAAGTTCGGCATTTCTATTATGGAGAAACTAGAATATGAAATGTAGCAAAATTGATTTGAACTGCATTATCTAAGTATCTAATTGACAATAATATTTACTTCAATATATAAATTACTCAGTGAGGATAATTTTTAAAGAAGTTCTTATAAAAAGGAGGAATAATATTTGTCTAGCATAAATTTGTTATTTACCTGTACTATGTTATTGTATGTTTCTGTAATGTGCAAGTCAGAGTGAAATATTTTATTACTTCTTTTACGCCCAATTCATGAATACCTTGAGTATTCATGATTTTTTCTTCTTGAAAATATGAACTCCACCTTCCATAAGTGTATACATGATGTGAGTTTTTATTTCACCAGTATGTTGAGCACTCTTTGCATTCATTTTATTTATGTGAATACTTTATTTGTTTCACTCTAATTTAATTACTCTATACATCACGTGAAAAAGACCATTGAATTTAGTGAAATGGCAACCAATTTAATCAATGAAATCATTTCAAATTATGACAAAATTTTTGGATATATTTTGAAATTTAGATTTATGGAAAAATCTTATCACATTTCAAAGAAAGATAATACTTCCTCCGTACCCCCAGAAAACACACTATTGTTGTGTTGATGGGTCAATTTATCTTTTGTTATTCCCTGCAATTTACTTAATTTTAAAATATGACACTTGAAGTTATGTACAGCTAAAGCTGGTCCTTTATCAACTAATTTTATTAGGTTGCTTTGCCGTATGGTTTAGGAGTTATTGAACCTTTTTAACAAGTTGTTAAGAACTTCCTTACAAGCTTCTCTAGGATGCCAGATCGTCCTAGGGAGTTCTGAATACTTTTAAACTGGTTTTCTACTTGGTCCTTATTCTATCACATTCTGGGCCACATTTGCAGTGTGAGCTGATATTCTAATGTTAGCTCTCTTGTACTTCTTTTACCCTGTTGAAATGGAAATCAACCTCTCTCTCTCTCTCTCTCTCTCTGATTATGTTGTTTTCTCTCCTATATTCGTGCAACACCTTTAGCACAAACTGAGTAGATATCACGTCCATCTTTTAACTTTGGCGTACTTTACGCGATTCCATATGATAAAGATATAATTTATATCACGCTAGCTAGAATTTGCATATCATCCTTCCAAGTTGTAGCAAAATTTGAAGCATGATTATAGTAATTAAACGAAGGCTCCACAATCTTGTATCATGGCTGTTGTATGCTATCATTTGTGTAATTTCACTAGTTCTTAGTCGGCATTAAAATTAGCATTTTAAATAGTAAATCAATATTTCAGATTACAGTATTGGCAAATGTTTTTTTTCAATGTTTAATAATTTGAGGAATCACTGATATAGGTATCTGGATCCAAGTTGTGGCGGCAAGTGGGAGAGTCATTTCATCCTCCAAAGTATGGTTCTTTTGTTATTTTTTCATTTGTAATCATTTGAACTATTTTCATAAGAGGACAGTAATGGACATCAAATCAGAATGGACATGTAGTTACAACCATTGGGATAACTTCTATCAAGCAAAGCTAAATAATTGTGGTCATAAAACTTAAAAAAAATCTTTAGTGTACTTCAAATTTTGTGCATCTGGCTTTATTTGGCTTACATAAAGAAAACGTAAGTTTTGAGGGCTGATTCAATGACCTCCTCATTTTTTTTCCTTGCAGGACTTGCACAACTGTTTCTTGGACATTCCGCATTTTCTATGAGAAGGCAACCCTCCCAACTTCACTTTCCATTTTATTCTTGTTGTAAAATTCACTTGATTTTTACCCATAGCCAGCAGTTGGCATAAATTCTACTGCATGAGCCTGATATTTCTTTATGTTATCCGGTTAAACTGCGAACGTATTGTTATTACTAAATTTGTGAAAGGAGCATTCCTTCTTTGTGTGTATGCATAATGATCTCTTGCGTAACTTCTAGGATTC